ATACATAAAATGTTTAGGATGAAACATCAGGATAGAATGATAAAGAAAGTCTGGGACAAAGAATTGTCTTTAAAAGGGGTGATCAGGAGGTATCATTCCAGCTAAGGTTGAAAGGATGAGATGAAACTAGCCATGGGAAGAACATTCCAGTCAGAGACAAGAAGCTGGGAAAGAGGCCAGGGGTAGTGGCTCATGCCTATAATCCCGACACTTTGAGAGGCCAAGATGAGAGACTCACTTGAGCTCAGGAGTTCGAGACCAGCCTGAGCAATATAACAAGATCTTGTCTCTACAAAAAACTTTAAAAATTAGCTAGGTGTGGTAGTATACACCTGTAGTTCAAGTTACTCAGGAGGCGGAGTAGCTTGAGCCTGGGAATACTGGGGCTAAGATCATATCATTGCACTCTAGCCCAGACAACAGAGTGAGACCCTGTGTCCAAAAAAAAAAAAGTTGGGAAACAGCTCAGCATTCAGGGAACACAATGTAGCCAGGGGCAGCTGAGTGAGCATGGGAGAATTTGGCATCAGCTTAGGTGAGAAACACAAGCATGTGTTGAGATGAGGCCCTCACGGTTAAGGCCTCTGAATAAATATTATGAACAGAGCCCCACCCCCCATCCCCATTACCAGCCCTCCTTAGACATGAACCAAAGAAATAGCTTGTGTGATACAGAGCTGCCGAAGACTGTTCGTTACCAAGCGTAGTCATCCTGACTGATACACAATACAAGCCATGTACAAATTCAGATGATGACTATGATTTTACAAACCTCAGTTATAAGGGAATGAATGATATTAGAATGCATAAAGAGCTCAGATCTTTTGTTCCTGATCTGGAAGAGGAGAGAAACATAAAGTAGTAGTAACTAACTGCCATGTTATACTTACCATGGGCAGACCTTGTTCTAACTGCTATATATGTATTTACTCACAACAATCTTATGAGGTAAGTACTATTATTATGCCCATTTTATGGATGAGAGAACTGAAGCACAGAGCATTTGCATAGTTTGCCTTTGGCAATGCAGCTTCACAGTGATGAAGCCAAAATTTGAACCTAGGCATTTGGCTGTGGAGGATTACTCTTATCCTTTAACAAGGTGCCCTTTTCCCAATGAGAATAACCAGAGAGATTCGAGGACACCATTTCGACATGAAGCTCAACTGCCTTCAGCCTCTGCTTACCTCTGGCTTCTTTCAACGCTCAGGACAACCTTCACCTGCTCTCTGTTTTAGTGATTCCGGGTTTCAAAAAAACCGATCCTTAACCATTTCCATCATTATGTGAAAGTTGAAATGGTTTCTTCACACCTCGCTAATTAGCTGGCTTCTGTCCTGCAAAAAGCAGCCCTGCTAATTACACAGCAATCCTGCAACCACCCTGAGGGGTTTTGTGTATCTTTTTTTCTCCACCTCAGAAACAGAAGATGGAGGAATAGTGTCTGAGCATCCTCCTTCCTTCTGTCCTGCCCCATCTTTTATGTAGTCTACAGCCAACCCATCGATGCTTCTGCCCCATGGGAACCATTGCCTAGCAACCAGACTGCACTCCCTCCTTTCCCAGAATCAGTGTCTGCTTTACGTACTGAAGGAATTAGCTGGACCAGAGCTCTGCAGGCTCCCCCAATTTACACTTGATTTCCATTTTTGACTGTTTCTTTTTCTTAAAGAGGCCAAACTTCTGTCTCCTCCTCCTGAGAATTTTAAATGCATTTGAATAAAGCAGGAGAACTTTATCTTTATATATATATATATATATATATATATATAAACAAATTAAAAACAGGAGAGCTTTAAAACAAAGTTAGACTAGGATTTTTTTTTTTTTGCAGACACTGATTTCTTCAATGGAAAAATGGAAAAAGATCAATCAACCT